AAAAAAAAAAAAGAACACAACAACAACGACAACGACAACAACAACAACAATGATAGTTCTCTGCTCTCCTTTTGTCCCCCTATCAGCTCAATATGAGATCACCTACTCTATCAAGTACCCTACCATCTTCACCTGAATAGAACGCCCAGTCATTATCGCTGTATCTGGAGACAGCTGACCCAGCAAGAAGATGAAATGACTAGGTGTTCTGTCCGGGTGAAGACAGTAGCCTATACTATGCCAATGTACAATGTCGCAGAGTACAAAGCTGCTCCCACTGACGCCTAAATGCAGAACGCACCTTCTCTTTGCAGCGATCACCAGGTACGGCCCTCGCCAAATCCTTCTCTTCTCTCTAAGGCCTTCCTCCTCCTCCTCCTCCTCCCAGGCTCTCCCTTCCCATGCACCACCTCCACTCTCCAGGCTCCCAACCCAGCTATGGTTGGCGCTGCCTGCCCCGGTCACTCTCCCACCAGCTAGTGCTGCTTGCTAAGCACACTTGTGCTGAAGCGGCGTAGTGAAGTCTGCCGGACCCAGTGTGTCCCCATCTGCCCTGGCCTCTTCCGATATGCAAGGCCGGCATCTGGGCAGACCGGTAGGCACTGCCTTCGGGTACCTTCTGGAAGCTGCTGCGGCCTGCGAGGATCCCAACCACCCGGCCCATACCTTGTACAGTCTGACCTGGCCTTTTTTTTACGATTAGTCAGGCCTGACTTTCTAGGGGCGGGCCTTCACTCAGCGTCCTGTTGCAATTACACAGGCCGGGCCTTCCATTAGGGCCCCCCGCCACTCTTTTGTACCCCGGAGGCCCTCGTGGCCTCACACTCCCACCCCCGTGGATTTGACATCCCCTCACAGCCCCTCATTTCACTTTCTGTTTCCCTTTCACACCGTTTCCGCCGTAACCTGTCGCAGTTCCTCGTGCTGTCCACATCAATTCCTCCCCGGCGATTCAGCGAACCACCAATCTTCACTCCGATCAGTAATATGAATATATCCGAACCGAACTCTGGACTGCAACCGAGGGTTCCGTGGATGCCCTCTGCCTGTAGGTTTTCTTTGCCTAGCGGCGGGTACCGGGTGCTCAAATTTAGACTCGGCATCGACGTATCTGTCCATGGAGAGCCGTGACATCGATCTGCGTGAAGGGAATTGATTCCATTGATCATTCATTACTAGTAAAAGGTAACAGCTTTGACGCATGAAAAACCGGCTGGGTTTGAATCTGAGTTGCGACATCGTCAATGACATATGACGGCCCATCCGAATCACCACCTGCAGTCTCTTGTACTGTCCATGACCCATAACACACTGGCTGGCAGTGGCTGCAGTTTTCTTGCCATCTTCTCTTCCTGACTGCATTCTGCATTTTTTTTCCTTCACCCATACCAAATCAATCTCCTACCTGCAATAGGGTTTCTTCATACATGCCTATGCGTTCTCTCTCTGTCCCTCCTGGTCTTCTTCATACATGCCTATACTTGTTTGCTTGTTCCACCATTTGCTGCTGCGATTTCCGCTAGTTCTCCACAGTCAGTTTTCTCAGCTTTTCTGCAGGATTTGTTCCTTTGTCTTTTTTGAAGTTTTTTCCTTTCCCCCTGCTGTAGTGTGGCTATTTGAATCATATATGTATAATTTAGTAATTTCTAACGGTACAGGAGACACATCCTGTGTCCTGTTTGGGAACAGAAAATGAAGTGGTTTCCTCGGTTTCCATCGAAGATGCAGCTGATTGGAACGACGACGTATGGCATAATAAATATTAATAATTCTATTAATTGAATTTAATTCATGAACAACTTTTTATTTTATTTTTTTTTGGGTGGGGGGTGGGGGACATCTTCGTTGTAAGGACTTGGGCAATTTTGGGCAAATGCGCCTCCCAGTCAAGTTGATGTGGGGTGATTAAAAAATGCCTCGCCAGCTGCTGTACTACGAGACACACTGCTCTATTGCCCGGTCACATGCACGAGTCTTAAAGTGCCCGCAGGTCGCACATGAGCTTCCAGAGTAGTAGTTATGGAGCCATACATCGGGCATCCGACTTCCTCCGTGGATGCACGGATTCGAACCGGTGCCCTTGCGTCACACACACAAAAAAAAAAACACAGAAATTTGCTACATCAGCCATTTTTTTCCCCATGGTGCTCTACAACGCGCTTTGAGTTAAAGATTTACTGGATTTGAATTCGATCAAATTAGATTATTCAATTTGGATTAACTTGCAGATTCAAAGGATTTGATGAATTTTGATCAATTTGGAAACTTTTTGGATTAAATTTTACATTTGGAGGATTTTTTTTTTTTGGATTAAATTGGATTTGACATTTGCAGAATTTTGATCGATTTTGGATGAAATAATTTAAATCAATAGATATTAAATTGTGGATTTGGATCTGATATCACATCCGCAGTAAAATGACGACGTGATTATGTTTCACCTGCCTTTCCCAATAAATAAATATTAATTTTTTTATTTTTTTTTTGGCAACTTTTCTGTCTCTCTACAGACTGCAAGGGTTGGCGCATTCTCAACAATATCAAACCTCACGTTGGCCATGTTCGAGGACAGCGGATGGTAATGCTCACGTGCCGTCATGGGGACTCCCTTCCTTTGTCAGAAAACTCCCTGCCAAAAGAAAAAAAAAAACACCTTCTGCCATTTTGAAGTGACATGAGGAGTCACCTCAGAATTAGCGGTCGGAGGAAGAAACTGAAAATGAAAAAAAGAAAAAGAAAAGAAAAAAAGAAAGAATGCTAAAGAGAAAAAAAACTTTAAAAAAGTTATATTTAAATATTTTATTATTTTCTGCATCTACTTGTACACAAACCTGTGGGATAATCTGCATTCTGAATATACATGTGGAAATCCATACACTCCTCCTGTCTGTCTTCCTCCTGTTTCTCCTGTTCATCTTCCTCCTCTTCCTCCTGTTCATCTTCCTCCTGTTTCTCCTCTTCATCTTCCTCCTGTTTCTCCTCTTCATCTTCCTCCTCTTCCTCTTCTTTGTCCTCTTCCTGCTCTTCCTCCCCTTCGTCCTTTTCCTGATAGTACATTTGGAAATCCACTCTCCTCCTCCTCCTCCTCCTCCACCTCCTCCACCTCCTCCTCCACCTCCTCCTCCTCCTCCTCATCCTCCTCCTCTTGGTCTCCTCCTCTCCTCCTCTCCCCCTCCTCCTCTCCCTTCTCCTTCTTCTCCTAAGGGGAAAATAGACTTCATTGCATCAAGAGACCTTTGTCCTCCCCTTTGTTTGTTTGCTTTTTCTTTTCTTGTTTGTTTGGGTTTTTCTATTTGTTTATTTTTGCAACTTGGCCACCAAGTTTGCAACTGAGTGGACTAGGCAGAAGAGCGATGTTATGGCCGCCCAAAGGCAGCCCGAACGAATTATGCACCTGCAGTGCCCATTGTATCCTCCATCAGCGTACAGCCTTACATGTGTGCTAACTATCTGTACGAAGTGTGCATCAGTTTTTTCAACTTTTTTTCAACTTTTTGCCGCTTGCTCCCACAGCGGGGGTGCTGTGTGCAGTGCATATGGTACGCTAAAACTACACACATGTAGGATCTAGAAAATGTTTTTATTTTTAACTTTTATGTTTTGGTTTTGTTTTAAACTTTAAAGTGAGAAAGGGGCATAGTTTTCAGAAATGCCTGCCGTGAACTTGTGGTCTTTCTTCTTTCTCCCCTCTCCCCTCTCCCCTTCTTCCCCCCCTCGCGCACCCCGTCCCCGCACCCCACCCCCTCTAAATTTGTGGTATGAGAGTGTGTTAGATTGATCATTGATTGTAATCAGAAATTTTTAGAACATGATTTCTCCTAGAAAACAATAGAGCCTTAAGGCTCAGAATTGTTTTTGTGAGAAGTTATGTTGTGCATGACTTCTCTGTTGGCTTGGTGATTGTACAATTCGTGAAATGTTCTTCCCTCTTGGCAATTGCTCCATTTGTTTTTTAATTATTTTTGCTGAATGGGTTATGTTCCTCATGCGTGGTCACTTCTCCCTGCCCTGCTGGCAATTGTACGATTCATGGTATGTCGTGTGTGAACTCTGCTGTGATGCGGACCTTTTTGCATAGTACTTCAACCAAATTGCTTACGACTCTCTTAGTAGCAGTTGATGGGAGCATGAGTCTCGGAGCCATGCATGCAGGTCAAAGAGAATACAAGCCTACACAGCAAAATGTGAGACATTTCCGAACAGAAAATGTCATAAATACCATACGTAACATCTGCTGAAATTGGAACAATACAGAGAAGATTGGTAGCATGGCCTCAACGCAAGAACGACGCACATTAATCGACAAATGGTCCCAAAAAATGAAAATATCAAAAAATTGAAATTTTCGAACAGGTCCTTTGGGGCATCCGTTAAAATTGGAACGATACAGAGAAGATTAGCATGGCCCCTGTGCAAGGATGACACGCATAAATCGAGACATGGTCCAAATTTTTGAACCAAACACAAAATTTGAAATTTCCAAACAAATTCGCATTGCTGATGTTTCTGATTATAACTACCATTTTATATTTTATTATTATTATTTTATTATTATTATTATTATTATGATAGACATAAAGCCCAAAATCACAAGCAAAAATTGTTGCTGTCCATGAAAACCCGACTCCGCCTGATTCTCCTAATTCCCCCTCCCCCTCCCCCTCCCCCTCCCCCTCCCCTTTGAGAAAGATGGTCCTTGCTCTTGTAAAGGACAGGGGTATTATCGGGCCTATGAACTACTGTGCTTTTAAATAGAAGTGCACAAAACTAGTAGTCCTTTATTCCATTAAGGAATATAGTTGATAGCTGTTGAGTGTAATAAGAAAATTGTAGTATAATAATAATAAGTTCCCATTACGCATATAAGATATTGGCTAAGCTTCTAGCAAACTGAATAAGGAAAATCACCAGAAGCTGCTTCCACGTAGATCAGACATCCTTCATCCCAGACAGATTCATACTAGACAACATAATGACATTAGCTGAATCTGTAAGATATACTTAGGATAAGAAATTCAAAGCAGCAATCCTCTTCTTCGACTTCGAGAAAGCCTATGATCAGGTTCACCAGATCGGCACCTAGACCGCTGGAGTATTCCTACACCTTGTCTGACATACGTGAAATCAGACGAGATATCAATGGCTAATCTATCTCAATCCTTAAATCTTTTTTATTCTTTCAGAAGAACGAATCCTTCCCAGCGCACTTATACATGTTTTAGGAGACATCAAGCCAGAATAGCTACCAAGTCCCGTATTTGACCTGATCTTACTCTAAGAGGAATTGGAAGGAGCCATTCAGGTAGCTGAAATATTTCCCTGAGTCCTCTCCTGGGTCTAGACCACGCGATGTGCGTGGTGATCCTTTCCTTCGGGAAGAAGCCGGATCAAGGTAGGGTTTATTATAAACTTAAAATATCTCATCTTAAAATAGAGATGTTCAGATCTTTCGTTAAGGATGTGTGGACCTTCTAGAGAGAACAGAAGGCCAGAATACAAGATGGCATCAAGTGGTTCAACAACGGCCTAGTCTTTCTCGAACGTAAATGCAATGAATATTCAAAGTTATTAGCAGTCGAACGCCATTCTACTGAAACAAGGTTATATCAGCGTATTCAACAACTACAACTCTTAGAAGTTGATGATAGTGAATTGGACAGGAATGAAGCAACAGCTCAAGAATTGCAAGAATTAGAATCTCAATTACTTTCTCGTATGGAGTATCGATGGCAAGGTATGAGGGTTCGGGGCATAATTAGAAAACATCATACAGAGGGAGCTATGGATGCAAGAGTTTTTGCTATGGCAAGAGCCCGCACTGGGAGGACAGTCATAGAGGCGTTGGCCCATCCCCAACATGTGAATGGTCCACTTGTCATTTCCACAGCTGAGTGTACTAAAATTGCAAGAGATTTTTTCAATGACCTTTTTCTATCTGAGAATGAAGATATTCCATTGAATCAACGTAGTGCGGAGATAAACGATTTCCTAACACCTATGACCAGAGCCCTATCAAAAGACCAAAGGGAACAACTAGACCTTCCCTTAACAAAAAATGAAGTATGAACTGCACTTATGCTTATGGAAGCAGAAAAAACTTCTGGCATTGATGGCTTACCAAAAGAACTTTGGAAGTCCTTGTGGGACTTCATCTTCCAAGATCTCATGGATTTCTATCAAGCAGTATGGGTGTCAGGCCAGATGGGGGAAATTGTGGGACAAGGCGTTTTGCATTATTATATAATAAGAAAGGCGATAAATATAATATTAGGAATTATCGCCCCATTACATTGCTAACGGTAGTGTATAAGCTGATCTCTAAGGTCCTAACCAATCGCTTGAACAAGTATATTGCAAACATAATTCACCCCTCCCAAACTGGGTTCATTCAAGGAAGGAATATTCAGGACAATATCCTGTTCATTAATGAACTCATTAAGCTCTCTCGTCAGTCTAAGCATAATGCAACCTTTATTTTTATTGACTTCGAAAAAACTTATAAACATGTTGATTGGTTCTTTTTAGATAAATGTTTAGAAAAATTCAATTTTGGTCCACATTTTAGAAGATGGAATAGAATTATGCATAGAAATGCTACAACAACGGTTATGAACTTATGATTAATGGTAATGTGGCACCTCCCATTGTACTTCAGAGATCAGTGAGACAGGGCGACCCAATCGCTCCGCTCCTCTTTGTGATCATTATGGAAGCTCTTGCAGCTAACTTAAGATATCACAAAGACATTAGACGTATCCAAATATTTTCTATCCCAGAGGAAGCTATCCCAGTCTGCTCTCTTTGCAGACTATCTCTCTCTGATGGTTGAAGCATCACAAGCGAATTTGGACGCAATTAAGAAAATTATGGACATCTTCTGCAAGCTTTTTGATATGAAGGTAAACTAGGGTAATAAAACATTGGGATGGTGGATTCATTATCAAGGTGCGAGACCCCCTGAACAACCTAATATTAAATGGATTCGGTTAGATATACCAGTTAGAGTTCTGGGTGTGTCCCTTTCGCCTACAGGCAAACCAACAACCAATAATAAAGGGATTTTGCAACAAGCTCAGTTGAAACTTGAGTTGTGGAAAAATAAACCTACATCCTTATTTGGACGATCTCTGGTAATTAATAATGTGGTCTTGGCTTCTATTTGGTATAAATCAGCGATATGGGCCTTAGATAAAGCGCCTCTCAAGATATTACAGCATCAATTAACATTTTTTTTGTGGCGTGAGGAACCATGAGCGTGGAAATGTTATCAGCAGAGTGACTTGGCTATCAATAATCCAACCTAAATCTAAGGGTGGCCTTGGGATCATTGACCCTCAAATCCAAGTTGTAGCTCTTTCCTTACAATTGATCAAACGTCTCTTACTTAACCCTCTCACTCCTTAGATTCACCTCGCCAGTGAGCAGATTAGGAGGTTAGCACCTCCTACCCCAGCCAAGAAAGATCCACTTATGTGGCTTGAGAATCGCTCCTGGACTCTTCCAAGAGGCTCCTCAGTGGAACTACATCATCTGGACCTCTCAAATAGACAAGCAGCCAGTAGTGACTTCTACAGGGACCCAATTTGGATCAAATTAATGAAAAACTGAAGGAAACTGCCTCTTCCAGATAAAGTACCCCCCGCGAGATGGGAGGAGGTATGCCAACAACCCTTATTCAACAATACGTTTATCAAAGATTCTCAACGGTGTGTTCTTCACTGCATGGATGCCTCTTGCAAAGTATGGATTAGGAGAGGAATTATACGAATTAAGGATTTATGGAATCATGAGATTAGGGATTGATTCTCACCCAGGAGCGCCTGCGTTATTGTCATCATCAAAGGAGTGCTTTGGATCACATAATTGACATAATTCCTTTAGATTGGGTCAGGATCCTAAGAAAAGGTCCTAATTTTCTCCCTGGAGACTGGGTAGCAATTTGAAACCAAAAGGGGATAGTGGAAAATATAATTGAGACTTCTAATTCAGAGGGTATCCTCATATTTATCTTAGATATACAAGAGGATAGATTCCTTAAT